TAGACTAGAAACTGATCCAGCATTGGATCTCTAGCTCAACACTACATGCATCCTGCAAACGCGCCCGAGGAAGCTACATCTGGGAAATTGCTTGCTCACTACGATGAACCGCGAGTTCACCAGTGAGATCGAGATCTCACGAGCTCTAAACAAATCGGAGAAGCTTCTGCATATCGTTAGAGTGGGTTTTTGAACTGCGAAGTTTGCAGTGCAAACATGACGTCCCGAGGCATCTATTGCAGGCGGTGATTGGTACTGGCCATATCATCCAAATAAGCAGACGATACACGAGTGCATCAATGATTTGCGAACGACTACCTACTAAGAGATCGTGACATGTGACGTTGAACGTGTTTCGGCTATTGGTATTTCTATTGCTCGCTGAGATACGCTTTGAACCCATGGAACAGCGGCATGCTACCAGGCTGGTAGTACCAGCCACACTACCTTGACTCGGTCTTTCTATCTCGAGGTAGATGCCTGTACGGACTAAACACGTCGAGTAGATGGGCTACGCCCTAGAAGTAAAGCGAAGTCAAGCGGCCTATCACGTGCCGTCTCAACTTCCTGCTAGTATACAAATGCGCCTTCCACAATGATGCTGTCAGCGAAATGATTGTGCATACATTCTTCCAGACCCGTCACCGACTACCATTCTGCCACTTAGGCTCCATCACATCACCAGATCATGGCTACCACTGCTGCAGCCCCTCGATAAACAACGCTCTCTAACGATGCTGCTTATAATAATCAGCTTATTCGACGAAGAGGACGAGTGCATACAAGCAATGAAAGAGCTTCTCAAGGCGTACCGAATATGACCACGCGATAGTTGGGGGATCAACGCGGTACGAAAGCTCGCCACTGAAACGGTCATGCAGAAACATTATCCAGGATGTCGGGATGATCGACCAGGACGGGGCTGCGCTGAGTTAACGGCTGCCCCCGAGGGCTCAGCCGACAACAATAGTTCGATCTCACCACCAGATATGTGGAACTTCTCACATACAGTTGTAAAGCACTGTGGTTTAGATGGAATAACAGCCGACTCCCATTGGATCGACACCATGGTGACCTGCACCATACCAACATCTTCCCGCGCAAGGTTAAACAGCTCGCACTACCTGCGGCATGAGCTTGCATACAGCACTGCAGAGCGCCAAGGCACTCCGGCGAGTCATGACATCCAAACAATGGTCGAATAATCTAGTGATATGAGACTCATCGAAGGCGTCCTGTCGAGCCACGAGAGCATCTTCTATAGTGCTCTTCAATAAGGGAGCTACCGCAAGGATATCATCTGTGGATGCTATAGTTTCGATACAGCTGACCTAAACCCACTCTTAGCATGGCTACTTCTTTATGCCCCTACCAGTGCTCCAGGGGACATCGAGTTCCACTTCCGCACGAACGCTCTCCGCCATACTTTCCAATTGAATGCATCGGGCACCTTTGTATGGGCTGCCCAGTAACCAAATAATGCGACTTGAGGCGGCGACAGCCTCCCGATATGATCCGATGCTGCCGCCACCGGCATGAGCATCTTTGTGACACTATCATCAGGTCGAATAGTACACGCTTCTATGGTCCCTGAAAAGCGACAATTCCTTGCATTCAATCACGTTACCCCCACGAGCTATATCGCCCAAGTGCAGAACCCCGTCCTCATGCGCTTCCACAATCGCATTGACACACGTATGGCTCAGCTTCCGCGAGTGGAAGTTCATTCTGGCCAAAGCAAGGAGGATTCCTGAGATCCGACCACGATTCATAGCTCTCCCCGCAAAGCTAGTTATAGACCTACTGGCTGCCTGTGCAGCTGTAATACTCTGGCATTCCATTGGCTCCTTCTGTTGAGGTAAACTCTTGGTGAGCACTACTACGATGCAATCTACCAAGCTCTTTGATCGATAAGATAGGAAAGCGAACGTATCCAATACTTCACATAACTGATCAACAGGACGGAGCATGTCATCGAGGAATGGATCCACACATAACTGGGCAATACATCTCCTGGGGACATCTGGAAGGCATTGTTCTTCACATATCTCACAACTTCATCAAGCACTTCCTCATCTAGCACCTGTTACCCACTGATGACTGTAGGCATACGCAAGTGATAGACCTCACATTCAACTTCCTATATGCACGGCATAATCTCATGACGCTGGCCGCATCCACGAAGGATCTCTTGGCGGCCCAGACAGATAATATGCCCGTGAACAGACTCTCTTGATACAGCCTGAATATGGTGAACCCGTATAAGCTAGCGATACTAAGGCAGCAGCAGCAACTACTCCACGCTCGCAGATATTTCAGCAAGGATAGACACTTGTGCAGGAGAGAAAAGCTGCAGTTTCTTCGATGCGGAATCAATGAGACTGCTCATGACCGTCCGCAGGCCGGTGTCTTTCAATACCTGCCGAGATCAGTCACATTACCCTTACAGAGCATATCCGTACCGAGTCACTGGTAGCAATACCGCTCATCAAGTGACAGTAGTCCTGAGGGTTGAGAATACTAGACAAGTGCTGCACCCTAAGAGCCAGTAAGTACCTGTTAATGAGACCGTGATACTACTCAAGAGTGCTGCATCGAGTCACCAGAAAGCTCGATCTGTGTGCTTATTCTGTATTGCCTTAGACACAACACTTGATAGTTGGGGAACAGTAAGCTTAGGCAAATCTTCAATCTTCCGCAGCCGGAAGAGGGAGGTCGACTTGGAAGCAGGCAACATAACTAAATGTAATCTACGTGAGGGAATGAACAACCATCATCAGACATTCAACCCAAATTCATCCTACTTGGGAGAAAGAGCTACAAATATATCGTAACGACTTAAGTCTCGATATCCGAGGGGATAAACTATTCGAAATTGTATAGAAATGATACCAGAACGGCAGCAAGTGTATACGTTATCAAGTACAGTAGGTGAGTGAGAGTAATGTCTCCAGAAGGAGGCCACTCAAGCCTCATGCACTGGCAAAGCCATCTGACGGGATAGGAGATGGGATAATAATGCGTTTCCTATTCCTCCTTCGATGCTTCCTTGGTTTACCGTTTGGTGAGACATTGCCTGCCTTATATGCCACAACCGGGCCACCTGCGAATACTCTATACGCTAGGTACATTTGGGATAGACTGAGCAAAACCACCATGTACAGGAGCAACTTGATGATGGTGTCGGAGCCCAGTGATGTGAATAAGTCTGGCAATAGCCCATCATCACTGAATTCGGAATGTCCATGACCAGTACGACGTTTCATCTCCGAGATATCCTGCTCATGGTATTTAAGGTCGGCGAGGAGAGTGTTGACATTGGTGGCTAGATTGTGGTAATTAGCTTCCAACTCAGTCATCTCCTCGATAAACCTCAGCAGTGGAGGGCCCTCAGCCACATTCTCAACAGTGTCATTGTGGTCTCGCCCACCTCCGTCATTGTACGATGAGTTCCCAACTTTCCACGGCTTGGAAGTGCTCCCACTCTGCTCCACATTAGACGCTTTTGCACCAGGAAACCTAAAGTTATCATATTGTGAGGATATACTTGTGCCATTTGGGTTTAAAGCCGAGCAGTCAGTCAACGACTTCAGGCTTTGTTCAGTAGCAAGTTCCATCTTCTCCGCACTGATGAACGCTGCTGGATGCTTCTGAACCTCGTAACGTTTCTGCAGCTTACCAATACTCTGTATCATAGTACTACCAAATATTTGAACACGGGTCAAAGTACACATCGCATAACCTTCCATAGTGTGACTTGTCAGTACTCTAATTTTAATGTATTTAACATAGCATTTAGCACACCTGCTAGTATGTGAGAGATCAAACCATTGTTGAGTCTCTGTAGGATCAGTTTCGATCTCCCCAAGAACACGCCAGGTATCAGTTGGATACTTGCGGGACCCTAAGATTTGCAGATGACGGAAAGTCGATGAGAAATACTCCTTAGTGTCGAGGGCAATCTTCTCAACATATGTGTCATCATCCAAAGCGAATGTTATCCACTTCTTACGGAGATCACACTGACACATCATATACTTACCATCATCACCATTTAATACATCACTAGGATGAGATAATCCATCAGCTGCACCGAGAAGCTTCGCTCCGCCATTTACCGAAGCATGATCGACTAACGTCCGAGTCTGAGAATTTGTGTAGGGCGCCCCTCGGATGAACAGCCTGTCTTTCCGTTGCATATAATCACATAATCCACTCGAGCAGGGCACAGGCTCGGCACCGGCACTTGGGCTAATCGGGGACCGATTCAGAGGAGGTGGAGGACTCACTCTTGTAAATACACGCGCCCTCTCCAACATCGAAGGAGTTATGACATCATCATTCGGGCCGACTGTACAAACCGATAATAGAGCCCAAGGCTTACATATGGTGTCCGTTACCGGGGTCCGCCAATACCGTCGCCAGAGCTCCTCATCCTCCGGGTAAGACCAATCCTTTAGAGGTAGACCACGACATGGGCAGACCAGGGAAGAGATGGACGAATTAAATGGGGCCTCTGTCGGGAGTGGAACATCGGCTGATACATTATAGGTCCCGCTGGATGCGGACGACGGGCGAACATCCACCAGATCTTCCGAGACCTGAATTTCTGGCGGACCAACTCGCATATCCGCATTCGATGCGGCACTGCTGTTGCCATATGATACGTCGGCTTCTCCTCGGCAGAAGGGTAGGAAGAGCAAAACAATCCAAGTATGTTTGAGCATTGATATTTGTGGGTGAGTCAAACAACTGACAATGATCTTCCTGAGAGAATCAGAAATGCCCTCTCGTAGCGGAAAGACGACAAGTCACCAGAACCTCATGAAACCGGTACACTCGAGTCCACATGTTCATGGGCGTCACTGCTGGTATTCCGAAGGAGGCATGGAATGAGGTGTTCAAGCTCAGTGTCCATCAAGGTCGTGAGCAAACCAGTCATCCACCTACTCATACGCTCAAGAGACACAATAACAGACCTCCGTTTGTCAGATGGTGTGGGAAGATCGTCCTCAGAGATCGTCTCACTAGTCTTCTGAAACAGTACCAGCGAGAATTATCGCATGACAACTGATATTTAAACCCTCACACGATAATCTTCCGAGTGAGTCATGCCGCTGTTAATCGTTCTCTTCACTATTGAGCGGCACAAAGACGTCGATGTGACTGCCTCGGATGTTGGTCTCGATCCAGGCGACCCATCACGTTCTGGAAGGATATCCGATGACTGAACCACATAGACTTACCAGGTAGTCCGATTTCTAAGAAGACCCGTATAGCGACTACGGCCTCAGCGAAATACTCACGTGCCTGTGATAGGAGGGCACCACAGGCAATGAGTACACCGAGTCGGTGTAGCGACATCCACTAACAAAGTCAGCTACCTTCAGCTCCTCTACTGAGAGGGAAAGACTTCGATCAGGTACGGGTACGTCGCCCAGGAGCAATGTCAGGGCCTCCTCTGAGTGAATCCATATGTGTAACAAATCAGCACAGTCCTCAATATCCCTACCTTCGCTGTGGCAATCGCTTGTTATGCCCTCAGCATCTTGCAGGTAGGAGATGACCATATCAGAAACGCTAACAATAAGCGCCTCTGATGCCGCCAATAAAGGTTCACTGACTATACTCTCAGGCCGTCTCTGCTGCCGAGCAAACGTGACTACAGGAAGATACGAGAATGCGAGGAGTTGTTGCGCATGCTACTGAGTGGACCACCTCTGCCCGATTTGACGAGCCTCAGGTAACTAGCGGGAGATAAAGAGTTGTGCGAAATATCTACGTCACTAGCGCTCCGCTTCATTATAGGTCCTCCTCCATCTCTGAATATCGGAGCACCTACTACTTCCGTGCTGTCACTTTCGAGATTCCCTACACGCCATGCCTGATCAGTCAATGGAGGAAAGTTGGTCATGACACATAGACGATGAGCAGATTCGTACACATTCTTTGAGGAGTAATAATTGGCGTATGAGAAACAATTCCCCATACACGTGTTTCATGGCCATGCATATCTCTTTCGGAGGAGCAGCATCGATGGGAGGCTTGAGCATCAAAGCTGCGGCATCAGTGACAGATCGAACACATGCTTCACATGCTCCTTTAGTCAGATAATGGCATACAGTCGCCTCTATAAGTGGCGGTATGGTAACTATAAACGCCGCAGTACGACATACAGTAGGGTACCTAAAGATAGCGTGGTCCTGACTGTCCTACGTAGGGGGTATAGCTCTTACCATCCATTTAGGCTCGTACGCATCAATGTTCCAATGGCTCGCTTTTCCTCGTTTGTTACCTACGAAAAGAGTCATAATAACTGACAAAATCCCAAGACATAATTACGGCAGGAGTATCGAAGAGGCGTGCAGGATATTCGAGATCCTCGGATGATGGAACGTAATCCAAAATATTATCACTGATGTAGTGTTGGATGGCGGAGTCGAGCGTCGCCCGTGAGATATCGAGTAGCCTATTGTAGCAGCACTCTACTGGCTGAAATGGTAGCCTCATGCCCACTCAATTAGGGCTGCATGCACAGGTCTCATTAATGGCTCTAACAGCAGCCCCTCGGAGTGCAGATCAGGTCCACCGTGATATTCGCCGAGGAGGAGTATGTCATTGTTATCAGATACCCCACCCGAACCTTGTATCTATAGCAGCCTGGTCCATCAGAATAGACTTACGATCACTCACTGCTTTAAAGAGCATCACGCATAACCTGCTCAGTGAAAATATATTCTTACACCCGGCAACATGATCCCGTAAAGAGCTGAAACAGAGATACAACACCCTTGGGGGCTCGGCTGGGCATTCGAACGGTTATAGGCAGTAGATCATGGACGCTCACTTGATGATAACGTGGCCATAGCACTCTTGCATCATATCGAGGAAATGCTCGTCTTTGTCCTTGAAGAAAACACATGTCCTCGGCCCAGTGTCCACAGCTGCCATGAAAGAGTGTCAGTCAGCGTATGAATAGGGACATCCGCACTACACTCACTGAACAGGCTCCCATAGGTAGTACACTCCCGATGAGCCAGTATGATGATACTGTCGCAAATCTGACGATTCTATGGGGTGTTGATGATGCAGTAACAGCAGTCACCCGTGATACAAGAAGGTCCAATTCGTCGTATTGATGGTGTATAAATGAAGGTAGAATACTATCAATCATAGACTGTATAAGATGGTATACAGCCCTCCGCCGCGTAAAACAGTAGTAACGTTTCACCTAGAGTGAACACCTACCACATGCGGTTCACAGCTCCGCCAGTTCACCAGAGAGATGGCCTGCTTTCGTTCCTGTGACCTGTCAGGTCCTTTTCCCTCATGAAGCCATAGTTCTGCGACCTACCACAACCATTAAGTCTATGAGTCCGTGATACTGTCCTGAGCTGCTTCGCAAACTTATCTTGATCATACCTCGCTTGAACTTATGAGGTTCCTTAGTTTTGCCTCTGCAATAACCACCTCTCGAAAGCCTTCGTAAGCCTCCAACTGGAAATCATTTCGAGACGAATGCTGCTGTTCAGCCACCTGGAGCAGTATCAGCACAGACGGAGCATGAACGAAGATAAACAGTCCTAGTCGGTACCCTCGAGGCCTCATCTTCGATGATGGCTTCGTTCAACTTGGATGACGAAGCTGTTTCCAATATCTCAATGAAGTCGCTGCTCAACGACTTCCATCGCCGCTTTCCTGGGTCGGATACTTCCTCCCTCATTCCAATGGGGGTCCAACGACTCGGACTGCTGTTGTGACGAGATGCACTCACGTTAATACGATACATCGAGTAGAGTGTTGATATCACAGCTACAGCTAGTATGACATCGCGGAGAAATGATCCGTTATCATTTATCCAACGGGAGGCCCATGAGACATATAGGGGGCTAGCGTGAGGGTGAGGGGCGGCAGTCTTGTAGGGGTGTGCTCCTACGTCCAGCACTCCCTGGGTATTATGCAGAGAGGCCTTATCCCTTTCACGTATCTTGCCGATCAACTCCTCGACCTTAGCTGATAGTTGATGATAATTCGTTTCCAACGCCGACATCTCTTCCACAAACCTAAGTAGCGGCGGACCCTCGGAAATGGCAGCCTCTATCCCTGCCTCGAGGGGCGGAGGTGATGGAGCATCTCGATTGTTAAAGCTTTGACTTTCGTCATCCTCCCCTTGCGAAGGCTTGCCCACTTCTACAGTAGGCGACTTCAACAGCTCATCATGCGAGTCCCGCTTCTCAGGGCATGTCTCCACAGCGGAAAGGGTCTGCTCTTCCGTAGGGTTTGCATCCACGGGCCGCGAGGTAGACATCGAAAGTGACTCGAGCATGGCGGATGTAGACTTAATGAGTGCCGAGGCATCGATCGACGCCGCTGCGTGTTTGGGTGCTTCGTATTTCCTTTGCAGCCTGTGGAGATTCTGAAGCAGTGTACCACCAAAGAGCTGTAAACGAGTGAGAGTGCATATCCCATAACCTTCCATAGTGTGACTTGTCAGTACTCTTATTTTGATGTATTTAACATAGCATTTAGCACACCTGCTAGTATGTGAGAGATCAAACCATTGTTGAGTCTCTGTAGGATCAGTTTCGATCTCCCCAAGAACACGCCAGGTATCAGTTGGATACTTGCGGGACCCTAAGATTTGCAGATGACGGAAAGTCGATGAGAAATACTCCTTAGTGTCGAGGGCAATCTTCTCAACATATGTGTCATCATCCAAAGCGAATGTTATCCACTTCTTACGGAGATCACACTGACACATCATATACTTACCATCATCACCATTTAATACATCACTAGGATGAGATAATCCATCAGCTGCACCGAGAAGCTTCGCTCCGCCATTTACCGAAGCATGATCGACTAACGTCCGAGTCTGAGAATTTGTATAGGGTGTCCCTCGTATGAACAGCCTGTCTTTCCGTTGCATATAATCACATAATCCACTCGAGCAGGGCACAGTCTCAGCGCCGGCACTTGGGCTAATCGGGGACCGATTCAGAGGAGGTGGAGGACTCACTCTTGTAAATACCCGCGCCCTCTCCAACATCGAAGGAGTTATGACATCATCATTCGGGCCGACTGTACAAACCGATAACAGAGCCCAAGGCTTACATATGGTGTCCGTTACCGGGGTCCGCCAATACCGTCGCCAGAGCTCCTCATCCTCCGGGTAAGACCAATCCTTTAGAGGTAGACCACGACATGGGCAGACCAGAGACGAGATGGACCAATTAAGTGGGGTCTCTGTAGGGATTGAAACCTCCGCTGATCCAGTATCACTCCCGTTTGATAGGGCAGGCGATGAAGACAATGCGGGATCAGCCAACCAAGGTACGGGCCAATCGGTTTTCATGTGAGGGCGATCAATCTGTGTAGTCTCATTGACAATCGACGACAAGTTATCCTGGTCGTATGACGAAGCTGATTGGCATAGTATGAGAGAGGTAACCAGTAAGGGGAACATACCTAGCTGAAATTGTGACTACACATGCTCCTAAAGTACCGAAGTCTCAAATCAGCGAGCCAGTACTTCTTCCACTCACTCAACAGGGCTAGTGTCAGTAGCATTCGGCAATGGAACAACAAACAATGGTAATGCTTTGCGACCTACGGCTCACTTCCTCAATACAACTGATTCAACTTCCTGACAAAGAAGATGATGAATAGCCTATGCCAATACAAAGAAGGACCCTCTTCTACCTCAGGTGACTGTTCCATAGTCTTGTCGAACAGTCTAGAGAGCTCACACGATAGATCGGTCGACGACACCGATGTGTCATGGGATAAACCCTAAGCGAAGACCAACGATGCTCGTTTCCCAAGGAAAATGAAACTTGATCCAGCCTTTCTATACGAAAGAGAGTGAAAACCAATATTAGGCGTACATTCCTTTCTAGTTCCCGACACACGTCTACGACTCGAACATGTATTGGCTGGAAGAGGATGGCCGTCGTACTATCACGAGGCTCTTTGGACGTCGACGAGTCAGATCCTGAGTCAGACGATGATCACCATCGTGAACAAAGGGACGCCTCACCATTAGCGGCTGAAGGTTCGGACAATGTGAGATAGGCTCTCATCATAGAGACTACAACTGGTATGTCAGCCTCTACCTGCTAGATGAGTTGGAGAGCAACTTAGGTGTATGTGGACTTCCCTACCTTATCCATAGTGGACTTCCATGCTGCTTCGATATCACCAGCAAGGGTAGGTCTCTCTGAGAAACGTAAAGGCATATACACTCAGCAGAAGCCCTAGATAAATCATTACCATCATCACAAGGAGGAGTCTTCGCTACATAGACCGTCGTCAAGGGGATGGTGAGACGTGCAGTGATGTGAGCAATTAGGCGATCGCATGCAGACTTGAGCTGAGCCTCGATATCCCGCTTCACATCAGATTGTCTGGATTGGATCACCGGTGTGAAAGTCGACAATATTCTAGAGGGTACATTGAATGCGGAACCTGAGTGCCTGTTCAGCACGAATCGTAAAAAATGGAATACCACTACCTGTCGAATGTTGTTGTTGCTGTACACCCCACCCTTGATGGGTAACTGATGGTACATGGCCAGGTAATCGTAGGGATAGGACATCCATTAAACTATGCTTAACGTTAGAGAAGTCCAGATATTGTGATGAGCTCACCAGATCAACATCGAATGAGGCAATCTAAGGCAATAACATCAGCAGTACTTATGAGTACCAAGATGAATTCAATCGGACCCACCTGTTCTCGAAGGATCAACAAATGGCGTATGGTGAAAAGCGCCTCGTTGAGAGTAGTCCAACCATCAATATTATTGTCTTTGGATGTATCGTGAGAGTCTCTCTCTTCAGAGTAACTCCTCGCAATATCAACTGCTGCTATGTCGATAGTCTCCAAGCATGCCGATACAGCCTCATAAGCAAGGCTTTGGAAAGTCGTTGTCTCCAACACAGGAAGTATCTCAGCCAATATCCATAACGTCTTTCCCAGTGTTGGGTACCTGCCCAGCATTAAATCAATGCTGCCGACATCACTCTCCTAATCCATTACCAGCCTCTGGTGGATACTCTCATTAATCGGCCATAAGCATCAATCTCGGGATGGACCTGATAGACATGATGGGTAGAATTCATGACAAGGGCCTACCGTTAGTGCATCATGTTCGAAAAGCCGCAGAGGATACTCAAGGTCCTCTTTAGATGGGACAAAGCCACGGATATCATCTCTTATGTAGGTCTGTGTCCTGTATATCAGCCTTTCCTGCACATCCTTCAGCAACCTAACTTTGTTGTAGGCGGTATGGCAGGAGTATGAGGAACATCTCACCTGTACACCACTGACAGGACAGGAACAAGCAGAGAGTTCTCTTCTGAACGTCCATCGGCATCAGGGGGCTGCTTCGCTCGGTTAATGTCGTAGGAGTCGAATCCTTCTGGAGCCAGGATCTGATAGGTAGAATGGAGCATCGAGCTTGAGCGTTGCAAACGTACCTCTCGCGAGATGAGCTCTGCCAAACTCTTCAGAGTCTCGACCTTCTGACAGGAGACAATTTTGGATCGAAGGAACCTATATCCGCTCATGGGGGAGTCCTTGAAGACAGACGACTCACGCATAGAGAGGTTTGCCGTAACAATTGCTGAGGAAGCCTTCAATAGGTTCGTCTGCTCCTGGGGCTAAGCCAGTGGACTGGGAAGCACTCGGAGACCCAGTGGCTATACTGCTCGCATCGCCACCTGCATAGTGATGATAAGGATAGGCTGTTTTAATAGGAATAGTATGACCGAAGTATTGAGTGTAAGTCCTACACTCCGCTTTGGCCAAGGACAGGACCTGTCGGCAGACCTAGAAGAGTGAGAGTAATGATGAGCGTGATGGCAAGAGTCGAGTCACATGTCTCGTGTATGGTAATATCTGACTCTCCTCTCCTTCAAGTATATTCTCATCGTTACCCTCACCGGCTGCCATGTCATCCAACATACTATTTATCCGCTCAGACACATGAGCCTGCCTTACTGTACAGTAGTATTGATGTACCTATCCATCGCCTATGATGCAGAGGGTTACAAGGATTTACCGCATAGATAGTAGCGACATAATCATCATTCCCACAACATACACTATTGAGGACATCTATGATAGGACGGACCTGAAGCATCCAGAAATTCACTACTCAGATGTAAGTCGATTGTAGACTATCACCTCAGCCGCTCGGGCATCCTGATAACCCTGATAGAGGCTCTTACACACTTCTTCATGCGATCCAACTGTCTGATATGGTATAGGATAACAACCCTAGCACCCAACCTAGGATACTCACTACCTTCAATTCTCGCCCAGCTTCATCCAGGAGCCTCATAAGGTGGGATCTCACAGCAAAACATGCTCGAGATCGTAGATGGGATATTTGTGATAGACAAGCAGGTGCCTGAGGTGGCGATAATTTCCAGGAAATCCCCCCTCCCATAATCTCAAGGGCTAGAATGCATCGGGTAGCTCACCATCTGATAATCGTAATGTTCCTCCATGAACGCCGTTATAGTATCCAAACGGTGAAAAAGATCCTGTAGGCCCTCGGCAGTATCAACACTGGGAGGGAATAACTCGGATACATCGTCAGTGTTCCCCGAGCTTAGGAGGCTCATCTGTCTGAGAAGGCAGCAGCCTCCAACGTGAACAGATATCCCACTCTGCATACCATACCTCGTTATCTTGTTGACGTCGTCAAAGATGGCCAGCTTGGATGATATGCTCTCCGCCGTTACTTCCAGGACATTGTGATCCTGAAAGAATCAATGAGTTCTCATTCCCGGATCATGCTGACCATCCACATTATGCGAGTTCCACATCCTATAACTACACACACGGCCAACTAGCCTGTGACTATAGTATCCAAACATGAAGCTTAGATGTGCTTGCGCCACCGCTGTTTTTACATGTGCATGAGTGCATTTGATATACAGGACCCTCGCATACAATCCATCCCATACTACCCTCATCATCTTTTCGCAACGCTTATGCAACTGTGTGGTCTTCTCCACCACTTGTTCACGTTCGGCGTCAACTTCGTCCAGGAGAGCTAAACTATCCCTCAATTTGTCATTAATGCTGGTATATGCATCTCTGACATCAATAGCATTCTGCCATCGTTCACGACCTAGCAAGGGGATACTATCACCATCGCATAGTGCTACCTGCTAAAAGGAGCAGTGCTACCTGCAGCATCCTCTTTACTCGCCTGTTGCTCTTCTAATTGTGCGTAAGTCTTATAAAACTTCTCATAGACATCACGTGGCGTAACACAGTCGTTATTACCATCAGCCTGAAAGCATAGCAGGTAACGACGTTATAGGGCAAACGATTGTGTATCGTCTATCAGCGTGACCACCTTGGTATCGACGAGCCGCTGCCAGGACTCATCAGTCATCCAATAATAACACCGACTAATATCCTCAGCATGATGGTCAGCCCAGCTGGCCGCTATATCGTCCAAGACACGCTGCTGTTCAGAGGATAGTCTCTAAGCCAATAACCCAAACAGAGTACTCCAGGGATATGTAAACCTCACTCTCACCGAGAAATCCTCCTTCGATCGGTGCCCTTGGTCAAATGGTCGTTCTCTTGATGGTGATGCCGCCTGGTCGTCGTCAAGAGTAGTCATGAGGTTTGAAAAGCATCCAAAAAACTAATCATCATAGCCTGATCATCGAAGCGTCAATATCGGTTTCTTAATAACAGCAGATACTCCAGGTCTACAGGGCTTAACAATGACGCAAGCACTACCTGCTAACTGGTATGCTCGAATCAGTGTCAAGTTACGAGTAGCTCTGGAATACAACTGGGCTCCTAGTTATTACCATAGGAGTATTCACCAGGCCCCTGGCTATGCTATATACATAGGGATGGCCACCACTACTAGGGTGAATGCGGCCAATAGCAGCATATATCATGATATCACGTATTTCAGTGTTTGTCAAAACGGCATATAATAACAAGGGGAGGGGTGGATGAACATGTAAAGCGTCCCTGCATGAATAGCATTGAACCCTCATGCGCCCCACTGGCTAGTGACCCTGCCACATTAGCATAGGTAGTTACAACGGGACTCTCGTCACGCAAGACAGGCTCAGTTGACGAAGAAACTGTAATGGCATTCAATCCTAGTAACCAGATGTGGTCTAGCGAAGGTCCCGCCCTCCAACACCTACTCCACCCCTCCCTCCTTCCCATATCGGAATTTGAGTATCCAAAAATAGGAAGTCCTCAGCGGACTTTACCCACTGGTATGCATGTGTAATTACGCTTGTTGGTGTACCACGTGGTACTGTTAGATACATATGGAAATCCTCTGTCCACCAGACCAGGAAGCACTCGTATGTTGTACAAAGGCAAACCTGAGAACTACTAAAACCACCACCACCAGCAACAGCAGCAGCAAGGATACCAAGCCCCACCTGTTGTGGAAGTGACATGCCGAGTTGACCTGATGACGCTAGCCTGCCACTGGACTCCTCTCTGGACCGCATTACCTCAACACATTGTGCATAACGGGTGTGAATCTATACGGAGGGAATTAGTCTGGAATGATGAAATAGAGTACTACCTCTTTCACTATGTGACCTCTGGATATACCCTCAACATTATAGTCCACTCTAGAAGAGAATAGCTGGGATGATGCAGGAAGGTACATCGCTGCATGTATCACCTATATAACAAATGCTTGAATATCATATCGAGAGAGAGCATACCAACCTTCTCTAATATCTTGATACCCTCAGGAGCAGGAGTGTACCTCCTGGATTCTAATGTCTGGAAATCCCCCAGTGTCTGTAGAAGGGCAGGGTCACTAGCAATACTAATTGGAGCCGCATCAGAGGCTGCCTGGATGTCCTTGACTATACCAACAGGTGTTAGCATGCGTGATACATGGTCTGCCGCTTTTTGACAGGAATAGAAAGCATCCTGATCTGGACTGGCACAGAGAAATACAATAAATACATCACCAGACAACCGCTGGACATAAGAGTAGACAAAGGATCCACGGTCTAGGCCAGCGGGTAGACATACAGGAGACCTATAGACGATAGAGATGGGGGAGTCCGGCAGACGAGAGTATCATACCAGCATGATCCTGATCTCAGGGATCCAGATGCGATGGTAAGGTTGATGAATGTTGGCATATCGCAGGGCTTCAACAGCCTCGATGAATCGGATACCATAGCTGAGATGGAATAATAGAATAGATGTATGGAAGCACTTTAATGAAATAAATACTCACCTGCAACACGATGACCACCGAGTATGATGGCGGCAAAACAATGAGAGGATAGCGATCCAGCAGGTCTGAGTCCCAATAATGTGTTGATAAGCTTATCCCTCGTCGATCGATGTAATGGTAGGGGTTCAAAGCATGACAAATCTAACACAGTACATCAGAATGGATGTTAGCCTGCCGAGGGGTTGTTACCATCACAAAGCGTTATCAAGTCTCGTTCACCCCATCGAATAATGTTGGCCAGGACACTCTCTGTGCCACCAAGTAGGGCCCGTACATCGTAGCTAGGCCGTTGTAGCAGCATCTCTTCAACTCGAGATGTTAAAACTGTTATCAACTGAAAGGCATCGTAGCGATGGTAATGAGCAAAGCGCCTCAAATACCTACTTGTCTATAGACGGCATTGAGCATTGACCTCAACTGTGCTAGAGGTACCGCTGGTAGAGGTGCTTGTTTCTTGTTATGAGCCGTTGTGTGTCGGCCTTTGCATATTGCCACCAACCACAAGGGCGTTCGATCTAGGAACACGAACCTATGTCGCATCCTTTCTGGGCTCTAATAGGAGGTATTTGGTCTTACCGAGTCCCACCAGATGTTGTAATGGACCTCAATGAATCGTCACTCACCCCACCCGACATGTGATAAAACTGTCCAAACTTGGACACTATCGCTGCCAATGCTCCACAGAAAGCAGACACTCCATCCGGGGAGCCATAGCGGGTATAAACCGGTTTACCTGATACTATTGGTGCAGAGGGTATGCAGTTCGTAGGATCCTACCACTGTATGTGAAGACGATAACATGTGTCCGATGCTTCCGGAACCAATCTCCGAATGGCCCATCATCAGCACTCTCATTAGCATACCGTTTAGTCTTAACAGAAAGAGTGGTCTGCTCCTCTGAGCTTGCTAATAATGGCCCTTGAGCATTATCGACCACAGCAGGCGCCACTGTGGATGACGTTGTCGAAGGCTCTCCGCCGTCTGCTACTACATCCTGTCCTTGTCCGGAGTCGATCGATGACATAATGATACTGCGAACAACGAATAATATGTGTAGTATTCATTAGCATCCTCTTCACTGAACTCAAGAGCACAAGCAAATACATGAACATCATCAGTGTTGAAGGTAGACATGCTAGAGAGTAGGGGTAGCGGAACATAGTGAGCACAAAGACGTGGTCATGATCGAAATACACGAGCTATAGACAGAGATATTGTAAAGTTTAGAGACGTGTAGTGATGATGACATAGAATTGTCAGTGTTGTCACCTTGACCTTTAGTTATATACAATAGTTATACCCTATACATCATGTATTAGAGCGTCCTTAGTTAGACCCATGATGGAGGGCACGGTTAATTCTGGCATCTTCATTACGATCTATCATATCCATAATACGTCGTTCCCTGCCCATAAATATCAAAACACAGTACCATCCCGCGCCGCCGCCGCTGCCCACTTCTCATTTAGTCCTTCCATTCCATCATCATCATTATCATCACCTCTCTTCGACTGAGGCTTCAATAATTGTAGAGGCCACTGACCTAATATCAACAGCCTACTTCAAGGAGCTCCCCGGCCATTAGGTATACTACCATCAGCAGCGGCCAGACGAGGTCCATTGCTAGCCTTATTAGGGTGCAGCAAACGTAACTGAATGTAGAGCTGGTATAAAGTCGAGTAATACAGACACTACCCTTCCAGCGTTGACCAGTAGAGGCTTCTGACTCGTCGATAAGATACTCGAGCCGGATCTACTGAGCCGTTTACCCCGACCAAGTGGCCGCCGCGTCTTTCTCCCTGCAACCATGCTTGGAGCACTAGCTCGAAATATTCTATTCACCTTTCCGGGAGCGTGTAACCGATGGCGGAGGCGGGACAGCAAGTTCGCCAAAGCGCCGCATCCTCTGTGGGCCATGCATTAGGAACCGTCTGAAGGTGTATCGTGCTGAAGATATTATAGCATAGTAATGAATACCGGCACAATTCTTTCATAGTTTCCTCCATGGGTACGTTGTGTGGAGGTCTGCTTAGACCTATCCGTGCTACATTGCATAGGAATGTTCTGAATTGTGGTTCGCTTAGACACCTAGAGCCTCTACAGGCATATCTAAAGCACTCCAATACTTCTTCTCGATTAACCTGTGAGCACTCCATCAACGTAGCCCAGCTCTTGTAGATCTAACTACCAAATAAGGGACGAAGGAAAGGTCCTTTGACAACTTCCACATCCCAGCAAGTGATAATTGATGTCTAGCTGCTTCTATAACATCAAAGGTTCCTGAATATGAAGTAATTACAACAGGGCCGATCATGCAACTACCACCCTCGATAGGATTATGTGGTATATAGACGTTTTTGAGGGCATAGAAATGGAATGTATCAGTTATAGCTCTGTTATATTTCAGCTCCTCCATAGACGGTGGAGCCCCAGCCAATGGTAGCATAGATGCCAAGACCAGAGCAGACGAGGATTGATCCTGAAGGGAGCATCCGGAGCCAAAGCTACTACTACTACTACTACTACTACTACTACCATATCCACATCGTTCCCGGCCTGCAGGCCAAGTTGGCCTGTAGCTCTGAACAGGGTATTCAACACTGCACGAGCCTGAACGAGAGAAGCATCAGCCATAGTCTGCTGATCTGAAACGTCACATGGCCAGCATTCCTCGTGTCACTGGGATATTCAGCCAGCATGTTCTGATACATATCGATCGCCTGACGTAAGGCTGAGGGTAAGCCATCCACACCTGCCGAGTTTAGCTCATAGACTTCCTGAGGGCAATACAAATCCAACATTCAATGAGCCTATATGTCCTACACTATCAACGATCAGAGCTCTTCCACTGGTATTGGAGGGTGATACAGTATCGGGAGATTCATCTGCTGCTGCAGTGGAACTAGTATTGGATACCTCAGCATGAGCCTGTAAGAAGCCATACACCTAATGCCAAGGTCGTACCTCTCTCACTGTATTGCCTAACTCCTCAGGTGCTATCGGTGAGGACGGAGATTCGACCGGAGAAGGATCTGAGAACACAGGACTTACAAAGGTACACTCCACATCGCCTGTTCAAGTTGGAAAGCAGTGTAGTAGAAAAGTGACGAACCGCTGTCCTACCCTCAGCTGGAGGTCCACCATCTCCAACAAGAGACTCTTTCATGTCTTTTTTCTCTACGGAGACGACATCATCCCGGTCCGTATCGTTGGAAGGCTGGGATGGTGGGGGGAGCTGTTTCTCTTCTTCTTCTTGATGCTGCTGCTGCTCACCACCATCGTCTTCCCCTATTGACATGTTTACTGGAGTAGCTGTGATAATAACATCCCGAATCACGCTTCGAACCAGGATCAACACAACGATGAACGTGTTGAAAACAAAGGACAACAGTTGTGAAGGTATTGGCTCAGGTGAACCAAGGTGGAGAAGTCCGGGAACAACATAGAGAATATGATCGGATGAGCTCCTATACCTGTGTATCGTGAGGAACCATAAGGGAGGAGCTCCAAGGGAAACCACCCCGATCGATAATGCCAATTGCGCTGTATCGAACGATATCTCCTACCATACCACGTACATCATAGGGTATAGCAGCAGATATCATGCTCTCTCTGATGGTGTCTCGGCACAAATTGTGTTGATACACCATGAGTGGGAGCTCATCCGCGAGCCCTGAGGGTCACGAGCGTATTCACCACTGCTTTGACAACCAGTATGTTACCTTCGGATGTGTTGATAGTTGTACCCTATCAACATCCTCACAATTGGGCGAGATATAACCTATAGGATTAATCCTTAGAGGCACCCACTGTCAATAGACCTGGCTTCCGAGTCACCATCCACAAACGGGGTCTCCGTCCGATATAGTGTGCAACCCCTGGTCTCCGTGACGGTTGAGAACACTATATCGACTTTCAGAGAGATCTCTCCACATTTCCATATCTCACGTTCCATGAGAACGATATCTGTGATCCTAGGTGCAGGAGTAAGGTCGGTATTACTCCATGGGATCATCAACAAGTAGTTCCAATCGTCACTGCTGTTGCAACGACGAATGAAGCCGCGTTCTCAAGCCTACTGCGACAGGCCTGGCATCATGATCCATAGGTGTGCATGGCCCATCTAGAGTTCATACAGCCCTCGCTCTAGAATCACCTGACGGAGTCTGGCCTTTCTCTGATGGATGATGATGGTTATGATGCATTCACCTCGCTGCATCATAGTCCGCTTACCCGTTTGCTTTTGAAGCAGTTATAGTCCTAAGCTCTTCTCAATAGTATGCGATGGTGGATAATTGTAATGCAGCTGATATCGCTACTCCTTCGAATCGTCTCTCAACTTGCCCGGGCATCACCCAGCAAGTCCTCAGACCGAATAGAGCACCATAAAACACGAGGGCACCTATTTAACTACATTACTCTATCATGTCAGAGTGTTTCGTCCCGACTAGCGGTGTCGATAAGGGAAATCAGCCCCGACATTCAGAGCTGGACACCATACGACCAGCAACTGTGGTAGCATTCCTATCCTCGCCTCCTCCACCTTCATTTAGATATCAGCTGTCAATCTCCTCCCGTGGGGCGCTCGCCATAATCCTTTGTACATTGCAATATGTCCATATAGAAGTATAACCCAACCACCCAAGAACCCTCAGTATTACGAGAATGAATCTCAGTTACATTGAGAGCTATTCTGAACATATCAAACTTTTTCTCTAGCTTGGCCTCAGATATATGCTGACGACCTGTTAATGAGACCTGTCCACCCCCTACCCATGGAACTCTACCTCAACCCATTCGTGAAGCGAGGCTCGCAGCGTACCAGAAGTGGTACTAGAGTATCTCAGTAGTCTCGCACCCTGTCGTCATACCAAGTATTACCATGCAGAAACCCCATCTCTCGAACAAGGATTCCGGTGCAATAACGAGTCGGGATTGATATGTGAATAATCATATCTAGCAGCAATATGTCCCTACCCTTCCTCACTCTATCCACAACAATATTCGACCGGGATGGAACTATACGCGATAATTGAACCCCATATACATCTCAGTTTCACAGTTGAGTGATAAAATCCAATCATCAACCGAGATAGGGAACCGCCATGCCCTACATCCAGTAGGGCACGTTATGGTCCGATCAGATTTGAGCTCCTTTCTTGCAGCCCATCTTACCATGCCCTACTACACACAACCACGTTACGACTTCATTCGGCTTTCCCTAATCATGCAAAGCCCCCTATACAACTAGACTTCCTACACATGCTCCACCCAGCACATGTTCCGACTAAGCACATCGCTTCCGTATGATGAACATTGATCGATGGTCCTCCTTACTTCAAAGCTATGTAGGATAACAATCTGGCAGCGAAAAGCTATCACAAAACGTGAACCCTACCCTTACAATACGTGACATACACGCACCAGTAAATTTATACGTTTGAATTTGATGCATCATTGCTGATAACCATAAGAATTCCACGAATCACTGAATGCACTCCAATAGCCATCCTTCTCGGCATAACGTCAAATGGATCGAGACGTAGCTAGGCGATTCATTACTCCCTTCCACAATGTACCCACAAACTACAAATTGTACGATTCTCCCAAACCTCTTCTCGCGGGGTCTTTCACCCGTCGTGTCCGCTGAGTTCGGAGTCGCGCTCGAACGATTCATGATTGCGAAAGAAGCCAACACAAACCTCTACTCCTACAACAATGCTCTAAGTTCAGCCAAACAACCAACCAACCCACTCCCCTTGAAACACGAACACGGTGATGATGATCACTGCAAGCTACCGTGCATGTAGTTTCCACGGTATGGAATTATATCACAATAGCGGAGGGACTAGAAAGTCTCATCCTCGAAGAACTCTCTATTAAACCTGAACAACAGCTGGAATAACTTAGGATATATGATAAGTACCTCTCTTGGAGAGGCGTGCTGCTTCTACTGGATCGGAATGAAGACCTCCTGGACTCATCATAAAGGCCCAAATCTTGGATGGTTGACTTCAGTTTATTATCCACGACGATATCATCATAATTATTATCATAATTATTAACGACAACCTCCTTACGGCAGAGTGGGCACTTGTAGCCATTACCGTGGGCATGTGTAACCATATCGATAACATGCTTACGGCATACATGATGGCCACAACCGCATACATCAACGGGTCGAACTAGCACCTAAACTCATCAAATCAAAGAGTGCACATCACGCTACTACCTACATCACAACACACTGGACAACTAAAGTCGTCCTTGGTTGACTCCTGTGTGAGGTGAGGCACTGGTGACCCTCTAGATGATACCGTGCTCACAGGGGAAGCATCATCCTGTCATAGACTGCACTACCAAGAACAGAGGTATCCTATCCTACCTCGACATGAGCAACAACCCGCTTGATTGGCTCCTCATCAACGAGCCTAGTGTATAAGTCAACAGCTGCAGGGGACGATACATGATCATCGTTCTCATCGTCACTAGCAGCCTCGACCTCAGCAGCATGCTTGATCAACTTTCGAGTAGCATCTCTCTCACGATCGATTGTATTCGGGGTAATAACCGCAGAGCGTACTCTTTTGCCGCAAACGACTGGCGATAAGTCATGCCCTACCATAAGAATCTCGGCAGACGCTTGAGAAGCTACAACCGGTGAGCGGGTTGCAGACGCAGATGCCGCACTCATAGCTAAACAGAAAGCTCTAATAAGGACAGTCGACAGATGTCTCCCGCGCTCTAATGCGCCGATGTCTGAGTAAATCTCGCTCGCCCGAAATTAACTCTGTCCTGCTTCGTCTTGGTGCGGCGCGCTGAGCGCGGTAAGAGATCTCTCTCGCCCCTCAAAAACAGGCTGTCAGGACGCTCGGCTTCCACAAGCTATATTTTTGAGGAAATTTTCATCCTAACGGTACCCCCCGGGGGGGGGGGGTACTTTACCGGCAATCCTAAGTTTCCTAGGATTCCTAACGTTAAAGGTGTACAAGAC